ATGTTCTAGCTAGCTCCTAACTCTAGCTTTAAGTTACAGATAGGCTAACTGATGTTAGCTAGCTCCTAACTCTAGCTTTAAGTTACAGATAGGCTAACTAATGTTAGCTAGCTTCTATCTTTATCCTTCAGTTACAGTTTAGCTAACTAATGCTAGCTAGCTGATTGCAGTCCTTTCATTTCCAGTGTTAGCTTGTCATTTCATCACTAATATAAAATGTCATATATGATCTAATGTTACAAACTCTGGAGCTCAGTCATGAGCAGTGAGACGATGGAGGATTAGTTGTAGAGAAACATTTTAACATTAATATAGAGTTATTTGTGGTGGTTTAGTCTTTTACCTTTAACATTAGTTTAAATAATAGAAACTCAGGAGTTTTACCTGTTGGGTCATTGAACAATATTAAAAAACATGTGCGTCCATCACCTCGCTGAAGCATGTGCCTGCTCTGTTCCGCTTCTCTTTCACCCTGGAGAAAAAGTTGACTCCCCTGATTGTCAGTGTATGATTCACACTGTGTGATCAGTTAACAAGGCAAGCTGCTACTCTGAAACAAAGCAGATTTTTAGAGATTACTAAAGGTCAATATTTATGTCCCTCTCTGGCCTCACATGCCACTTTGTTTTCCAAAAATGGGATTTTCAGAGCGGACGAGATGAACTGCCTGGCGAAGGATTCCACAATTCCCGTAGCACAAGTCACCCCTGACCTTGGCCCGTTAAAAATAGCTGCAGCATGATGCATTAATACATAAAGCTTCAGCACACCCGCTTCCTGCACGGTCATCACCCGGCTGACTACATTCCACAGAAACACACACACACACACACACACACACACACACACACACACACACACACACACACACACACACACACACACACACACACACACGGGGGAGGTTTTACAAATGTTTACATTCATAGAAAGATATATTTATATTGTAGTGGCCCTTCTCTGTCAGTGCCAGTCTCTGACCCGAGGTCCAGGTGATTGAAGCAACATGTGGCTCTTTCAGCCAAACTGCACTGTACCTCCCCTGGCCTTACATGTGTGAGATGCTGGGCTGCAACTGACGGATACTTTCATTATTGATTAATCCATTAATTGTTTAGTCCGGAAAATTGTCAAAAAAAAGTGTGGGAAAACAGTTCAACAGCCAAAGATCTTCAGTTTCCTGTTTGATAAGATGAAGAAATACAGCAAATCCTTTCATCTAAGAACCAACATGTTTGGTGTTTGACAAAACTACGACATTTACTTACCTGACGGAAGTAAAAACACATTGTGAAAGGATGAACTGCAAGTGAAGCTAAAGGAAGTGAAAACGAAATATGTCACGGCTCTGTCAGTCTGTCTCCTCCTCACCTGTAGTGGGCGTGGCTACCTCTCCTGGCCTTCCTACACACCTGATGACAACCTGCTCACCTCCTACTGTTGAAGCGCTCCGGCTCAGCCTTCCCTCCTCGTCAGATTGCTCAGCCTGCTTCAGTGGAAGCTACTCTCAGGCCTCCTGGTATCTCTCTTGTGTTTTCCCTCGTGCTCCTGGCTGATCGGGGCCCGGGTGAATATATGATGCGTACACACATGCGTACGCCGTTTCCCGCTCATAATCTGGTCTTTATAAACACACACTGTGTCACACATTCCTTTGACCATGTGAACACGCCATTTTTCAAAGTTGCAGTGAAGTGAAAATACAAAATAATCCACGTAATTTAAGATAAAATAAAACAAACTTCACGGAGCTCGCAGTCTATTATAGTCTTATTATCAGTTCTGCTGTTTACACAGCAAAAACTATTTTACAATTCAATTCAAAAGAAACAATAATATCCTTATTATTTATTGTGAGTCATTGTGCAACTGTTTCATACTGTTTTAATTCTGAGTAATCTCAGTGTCGCAACCTCTGGAGCCTCGTTAAGACTCGTCCCAGTAAATGAAGCTCGGAGTGAAACAGGACTTCACATTAGAGTGATTTAAACTGATGATGTTTTTACCTCTTTGGTGAAATTCTTCTTCTTCCTCATGTTTCTTCTCTGTGTCTGATAACTTGTGGTGGAGACAGTGTTTTTATACAAACTGATTGATTAAGGGAGAGTCTTCGTCCAGTTATAGATAAATGTGGGAGTTGGAATGACGCTCGCGCACGTGCGCCAAATTTCTCTGAGTGAGATTTACAAAGCAGAAGCGAGTGAACGCACAGCTTTATAATTCTGAAGAAAAGAATGCGTACACATACTTCTGGTTTTGTGCGTTCACATAGTTTTAGTCGTGAATCTACAGAGTTTTGTGCATCTGGCCGTTGGTTTTCTCCTGTGACCTCAGTGATCCCTCCAGCCTGACGCCATCTCAATTCACCTCCTCCCCAAACAGCCAGCCTGCCTCCATCCTCCCCTTCACCACCTTTCAACTATTCTCCTAATAAATACCAACTATCCAGCTGAGTCTGGGTCCAAACACTACCTAGACCGTCACATATTACAGTTTATTATTTCATAACTCTGGTCATCAGATGGACAGATGCTCAAAGACATGAGTGTGTCATTAATTAATTGGCGGCTTCGACATTAAAAAGGAACTCTCTGTCTATTTACACACTTCTGCATCACATGCTGGTGTTTCCATAGTTAATTAAGGCAGATTTCTCCAAACAATTGAAGCAGTTTTTATTACCTGGTAGAGCATGACGGGCTCGATGCTGTAACCCAGCGTCTCGGCAAACTCTCTGGCAAGAACCGACTTTCCGCAGCCCTAGATAATACAGAATGATAATGATTGAACCCAGAGATCACACTCTGTGTACATGCACACTGTACCGTACATGTGTTGTGTGCTACCTTGGCTCCTATCAGACATATGTCCTTAACCATGTGTGACTGCATCATCTCAGACATCAGCTGGGAGTGGCTCGGCGTGCTGATGAAGTTGGGGCTGCTGCTGGGCTGACGAGGTTCCTTGGTTCCCGCCGGGACCTGCAGGGAGATGAGAGAAGAAGAAGAAGAAGAAGAAGAAGAAGATGCAGAAACAATCAGGCACCAGCTTCATCTTCATATAAGAGCTGTGGAAAAACATTTCCTTTAATAAACCGTGATTCAGAATCATCAGCTTTGTTCTGGGAACTGTATGTTCCAACAACAGTGTTATCAAACAATCCATGAGACAAGCTCCTGATACAGTGTCTGCCAGTCTGTCTGTCTGTGTCTGTGTCTGTGTGTGTGTGTGTGTGTGCACGGTCATGGGACAACACACATCCATGTGAAATGTGTGAGTCACTGGTTTCCAGTTGCTGATTGGATGAGTACGGTGGCCCAGAGAGCTCAACACTAAGGCTGTGTTGTGTTTTTGTGTTTTTGTCACGTCTTGTCAAACTGGTGAAGATCAACGACCATGATCTTAAATAGTTAATGCTCCGCCCATCTCGTGTGTCCAGGTGAGTTTCTCGTGGGAGTGTCTTCAATCAGTGACAGTGATTTGTGTCATGTTCTATTTCACATGATTTTACATGTATTTTCCCTTCACCTCACAGGCTTTAGTCCACATGGTCTGCACACATAGTTTTATACTGTGTACATGTACTGTACCTGAAAGGTGACGTCCTTGTCCGCGACACGTAGCGTGACATCAGCGCGGCCCTCCAGATCCCTCGTCACGGTCACGCCCGTGATGGCGGCGGGTGCCGTCTGGCGACGACCGTCCAGAAGCTCAAATCTCTATGAAACAGAGAAGAACGTATTTAATCTGAGGCTCAGACTGTAACAACAAACATGCAGATTACATGACTCCACACGCAGACTGGTGGACTTACACTGAGAACACCCTCCACAGCGCTGCGCCCGTCCTTCCCCAGGAGACTGTTGTAGGGGTAAAGCCTCTGGACGAGCTGCTGGGAGGACAGCATGGGGAAGGAGTTCTGCAGAAACACACAAGAGATCAGATCCATGGCCCAACAGATCCCTCTCCTCCTTCTGTTCCTCAGAGAGGGACCGTGAAGAGGCTTTACGGTGTCTGGACTCTCACCAGCACGTGGAGGGCGGGGAGCAGGTTGTCCACAGGGAAGTCGGGGAGGCCCAGGTTGGAGGATTCCTGGGAGCACAGTGTGGTGGCCAGAGACAGCAGCTGGGACACCCTGACACACAGGACACAGCAGAACACTGCGCATCACACTTCAGTCATCTTCAGTCTTTTCATGCAGGTTAGTGCAGCTCAAAAGAAAAAGGACAAATCAAGTCAGAAAGCTGAGACTAAAACAGATTTAAAAAGCTGTAACAACATTAGCAAAGAAGAAGAATATTAATAAGAAAATAACAGATTAAAGAGAACTAGAACCACCTCAACAGGTCACATGCCTGTTTATACAGTCATATCAAATATGAACCATTTGACCTTTGACCACCAGAATCTAATCATGTTGTTCTTGAGTCCTAGTGGATGTTTGTGCCAAATTTGAAGACTGATGTATTGAGTCCACCAGAATGGGACGGACGAACCTACAACCAGAAAACAAGACGCCTCCGGACACAAGGGCAGAAAATACAATTTACAACATAATCCCAATAAAATAAAGTGATTAATGACTAAAAACTATATTCAATTACAAGCCAGAATGAATCGTAATGTTTTGAGTTTCCGTTTGAAAATTTCAGCACTTCCTGCTGCTCTCAGGTCCTGAATCAGCTGACTCTGAATCAAAGTCTTGCTGGCTTGAGGTGAGTCCAAGAGCTTCAGAACCAGTGATTACAATTCCAGATTTGTCCCGGTTGAGTTGTAAAAACTTCAGTGACATTCAGACGTTCATATCTAACGTATGTTTAAAAAGGGAATCAGTTGGTCTTGAAGAGCAACAGAGAGAAGACTCGTTAGTGAAACGAGCCTTTTACAGAAAGGTTGAATTTACCTTTCTGCAGCAATGTTTGGTCCTGCTGTGTACAACAGCTCCAACTGGTCCTGAAAGGAAAACCACATGAAGATGAGAAGAGCTGCAGGGAAGGGGACTTGATAAGATCTTATTGATACCAATGCTTTTATGGATTCTGCTTTTGGTTTGATTCTTTATCGATTCCTATGGATTTTCTGTTTGGAAAGAAGTAGGCCTGTCAGCATCACGACTGAACACTGAACAAGATAACTGCTCTGTAGTGTTCAATCCCCAACTAATACGTCCCGTCACTGCTCTGCTGACACTGGGGAACTCGCTGACCGGCGGCGTAGAGCGTCAAACACATGGCGCTCCTGATATTTAACGCCGTGCTGCGTCCACGTGTTTCAGCATGTTGCTGGTGTTTCCACCTTGCTCTTAGTGACATCGCACGTCACGCTGTCAGCGTCGCTTTGTGTGAAATGAAAAGGGATAAAAAGAACAAGGCTTCTTTCTAACTGTGATGTTTCTCTCTGTAACTGTGTTAGTTATCCACTAAATAAAGAAAGTAGTTCCAGTGAAGTTTGCTCAGTGTGTGTCATGTGGGTTATTCAGGGTGATGAAGTCAGACTGTTACACTGCCTCTGCCTTTCTCTTGCCAAGCCTTTCTCTCATTATTAAGCCACGCTGGTGTTGGCGGGGAGCGGTTGGCGTTAGATGATCTGTGAGCTGCTGCGCTGACCTTGAACGGCAGGTAGTAGACGTCTCTGGCCTGGAAGCGCGAGCGGAGGGGAGGGTCCAGCGGGTTGCCCTTGTACTTGGGAACAGGAAGGCCGAGAGCGATGACCCGGAAGTCCTCACTTACCCGCACAATCTTCCAGCTGTCCAGCTCCTCTTTGGTGTGCTCCTGCAATGCATCAAGGGAAAAAAACACTCCTTTCTGAAGTATACTGATCTGCTTAACGTTTCACCGACTGTTAGCTACTCACTCATTTTTATTTATTTGTCATTAATTACCCGCTTATTACTATTATTTCTATTTCTTTTCTTTTATCTTTATTTTATTGTTTTGTCTTTTGTCTCCAGCCTGGAAAGCGTTTGGAAGTGGGGAGTTGCTTTTCTCCTCCCGTACATAAAGGTTTAAAAATCACCATTACAACTGTCTATGACGAAGCTAACTCCCTTCATTTTACAGACCTTACATAACGTTTATATGAACTTATTATAGGGAGGTAGCTGCATGTAACGAGTGCACACTCTGAATGTCACACAGTATTTATGGCAGGAGCGTTTTCCTCATCTAAACACAGGAGCAGCTCTGTAGGAGGAGTGTGAATCAGTGCTGAGGTGTGAAGATTCAGACAGACACGGCTCCTTAAACCAAGCTAAAGACTGACTTTCTTCAGTGTAAACCGTGATACGTTAGATAAGAGATACAGAGGAGGGAAGTCCGTCACCCTCAGCTGCCGTCCTCTTCTTCATGTGTCAGGAGGACGAGCGTGTTTGACCGGTGCGCGCTGCACTGACCTGCAGCAGCTTGTCGTAACGCTCGGCCGACATGAGGAAGCGTCCGTCCTCCAGCTGCATCTCCCTGTTCTCCAGCAGGTTGTTGAGGACGGGCAGGACGTTTCTCTCCGCCTTCTCCAGCCCCTCCAGGACCAGGACTCGACCTTGTGTGGCCGCCCTCACGGCACACTGCAGGGAACAAAGACGCTGGCATCAGGAAAGGTCTCATTTTTAAGGCTGAAGCCGCAATCGGTTCAACCTCAGGTCAAATCTGCGTCTCCATTGTGCAGCACGGCCTCTGACCCTGTGTACATGTTAACAAAGCTAAAAGCATTTCTACAGAGAGCAATCTGACTGTCCATCAGTTCTTCTTGCTGCCCGCTCTCTAATGACTATATGAGCTTGCCATAAAGTCTTTCCTGAGGATGTCCTCAGCTTATTGTGCTCAGAATGTCCTCCATCTACTCCGGCTTCAAAACAGTCTCAGCTGTTTTAGGAAGGCCTATTTTCTACCACTGAATGTGGGACCAAACTTGGTTTAGTTCGTACAGCGTGTGTGTGTGTGTGTGTGTGTGTGTGTGTGTGTGTGTGTGTGTGTGTGTGTGTGTGTAGACACACATTTCTGCAGAAATCAAAAAGCACGTCTGACGTCAAGAGGCAGGAAACTTTAGCTGTCTGGGTGGACCGCAGAGCGAGTGGCCATGTAATTAGGTTAACATGTAAATACGTGGCAGGTTGTGTGGGAAGCAGAGCCATAAAACTATAGCGAGGACCAGATGCTCTATATTTAACTCCTGATCCATTTTCGGCACCAACGCTGTAATCAGATAATTGTTAGAAATGCGAGTGACGCAGGACGGCGAGGGAGACGGGGAAGCACAGACAGCCTCTGTGTTCTGACTGACACTGACGGAGCAGAGGAAACAACTTCACATACTGAGAAGAGTCAAGCACAGAACACAGTATATTTATATATATAAGGTCATTTTCTGTATAACCCTCTGCACTGCATGTCCTCACAACGCTCCTGCAGCCGGTTCACCTCCGTCACAAACACACAGACCTGAACTTGTGTGAAAACTGTGGGATATTTGATTGTCAAACTTCCAGATGTGCAAGTGATGGTGAGCAGCACTTATAGACTGATACACACAAATCATTACAGCTGTGCACTTTGAGGGAAGTTCTTTGAAACACAACTGAGGAACACAACTAGAATCACCTCCTCGTGGTCGTATCCCTCCGCCACTCAGACTAGTTTCAGGTTACATCTCTGTTTATCCTGTTTTTACCTGAGCCGACAGTCTCAGCAGAGCTCAGGTGTTCAGGAAGCTTGCTCCACAGGTGAGGAGCAGAGGAAATAAAAGCTGCTTCACCTCACTTGGTTCTGATTCTTGGAGTGAAACCTGTTCCAGACGAACCTCGAGGGGTCTGGATGCTTCACGTCGTACAAGCAGATCAGAGACCACTTAGTGATTTACAGATCAGCAGTAGGATTTTAAAACCCGACCTTTGACACACAGGAAGCCAGAGCAGGGATTTACGGACTGCTGTGATGTGCTCCACCGTCTTGGTGTTAGTAAATGCACTGATACGTTTTTCTGTTTCCTGTCTAAGGCAGAGTAAGTATCAGCTCATGCTCAGCTGTAGTGGAGGTGGAGAGCTCTTTATTACTGTAAAAGAGACTTATATGCAGCGTGGGTTTGAGGTAAGCTGCCTTACATAAGAGCCTGCTAATTGGAGAGAGGTGACTACTGGAGATGGAAGAAATACAACATGCAGGCAATTACATCCATGTGACTGCACCCTTCATACAAACTTGAAGGAGGGGGAGGAGGGGGGTGATGTCTGGACTGAAGGAGGAGAGAAGAAGGAGTGACTGATGGAGGGAAGGGAGGGAGGGAGGGGAGGGGGAAGAGAGGGAGCACAGGGACCGACACGTTAAGTCTGAATATAGGGCTCCGATTCAGCACAGGGCCCTGAGGAGTACTTGGACGTTCTAGTTAACACACACACACACACACACACACACACACACACACACACACACACACACACACACACACACACACACACACCTCCCACAAAACCAAAATACTCTCCAAGTGTAAAAAGCTCTTTTACATGAACCCCCCACGTCTTCAGTCCCTCACATGAAATAAGTGTCGGATACTGTAATGTACTAATCACACCCACAGGCAAACCCACACACACACACACACACACACACACACACACACACACACACACACACACACACACACACACATTCCATGAGATTTGAGGAAGACCAGAAATAAGCAGTCTCTTCACACCTATTACTGCTGTATCTATTCATGAGCTGTTTCCATGGAAACAATGGACACCTGTTTTTTCATATAGATGAGGAGGTGGGAGGGGGATGAGCCTCGGGGGNGTGGGGTGGGGTGGGGGGTGTTGCAGGACACAGGCGACGGTGTAAGCTGGTAGATACATGACAGTGTGGTCAGAGTTCGGACCACGGCTGCTTGTTTACAGCGTTCTTCTTCTGTGTCCGTCCACGTGTGTCCTCGCAACAAGTGTCACTGCACGAGTTGTGTACTGTTCAGATCAGCTGATGATGGGTGTGTGTTATCGCTGCTCACTGGTTCAGGAGCTATTTTCAGTGTGAACACGTTTCCTCGATTGTTAGGTCACATCAATAGATCAGCTCCCTGGAGTAAGGCAGGCTGGTCAAATGAATCACCTCCTCACGGTCGTATCCCTCCGCCATATACTGTGAAAGTATCAAAGCCTCAGTCCACAGAGAAATGCACACAGCCTGTATTCAGAAACTGAGCCTTAAAACCAGCCGTCAGGACTTCTGGAACTTTGTGATGTCACAACAAAGCAGTCACCAAGCCCCGCCCACCTGGACCCACCATCCAAACCTTGCAGGATTTGGTTTCTCTGAGTGTTTTTACCTGAAATCTGCTTTATTTTTATTGGATCACTCAGAAAACAGTCAGCCAATCAGAAGAGAGGCTCAGAGGAACTTCACTTCCTATAAAATAATAAAACCAGTCAGTAAGCTGAGGTTTCCACACTGCGTGCAGCACTTTTGATTCATCCACTGAGGAAATTTACACATTCATAGAAAACCACCGTCCTCAGTTCCCACTAACCCACTGAGGAGAGTGGAGTGACGCTCTACAGTAACTGAACTCCCAGTTTCCAGCTTCAGTCTAATTATAAGAAGCTCAAACTAATTAGGCGTGAGTTTTTTTCTCTGTTCCAGAAGACCAGCTTTGTGAGTGAAGTGCACGGGATAAATGTGCTGAGAATAAAACAGGAAAAACTTCTCCCTGTTTCCATGGAGTTGATGTTTGAACTGTTATGCAACCGATTTATTTTTTAACACAGATGAAGCCGTGTGCTAATTAGCCGTGGATAATGACATGACTGAGTAAATGTTAATTATCACAGCTTATCCTCATTTGTCACTGCTGGCTCCTGGAAGCCCAGTGACAGGGTTTAATGGTCTTATGAGGATTTTGTTTTTAGTTTTTTCAACATATACATATAATTGTTTTTCTGCACCCATGAGACAGAAAGTTCTCCTCAGAGAAACCAGCCTTGATAATGAGGAACTGCTGGTCTCCATGGTTACCTGACATACAAAGTCAGCAGAGTGTGGGGGTGTACGTTTGCCTAAAGCTTGATCGATCAGAAAGTGGCATGGGAGGGAACAGAGTGGAGTGAATAAGGGGGGGGGGGGTTTAATGGTATTTAATTTAAAATAGAGGAAATGAATAGAGTCTACTCTCCAGGAGTGCTGGAGGTGTCATGATGAAGATGGTACTCTAGTACACATGCTCTGGTCCGCCATACACATCATCATAGAAACTAGAATCACCTCCTCATGGTCGTATCCCTCCTCCACTCAGACTAGTTCCAGGTCTAACCATAGTCAGAGAAAATATTAAACTTTTGTGTGAAATTTTCTCATAAATTGCTGTGACCAACAAAATCTAATCAGTTTGTCCCTGAGTCCAGGTGAACTTTTGAAATTAAACATCTGAAGAAGTTCTCAAGGTGTTACTCAGATTTCCGGATGTACAACTAGAAAACAGTATGTCTGCAGCTCTGACGCCGGCGTGAGGAATAAAAATTAGCAGCCTACATATCCCCTTCTCCCCCAGTCTGTTTATTCTGGGTGACCTGAATCCACGTCCTGCTGACTGGGTCCAGACCGTCCTCATGTTAGGACAGAGGCTCTGCACCAGCGTCGTCTCTGTGGCTGTTTGATAAGGTGGAGGAGAATCACTTGAAACGGGGGCAGCACCATTCCTATATATCAGGAGTTTAAAGGCGTTTCCAGCTCAGTTAACGGATATATGAAGTTCATTTGGTTGGAATTCAGTCGACAAGCAACGCTGTAGACTTTTAAGCAATCACAGTCATGTTGATTTTTTGTCTGTATGTTAATGTTTGTTCTAATGTTCCACGCCATTTGTGATTTCAATATTTCCATAGGTTTTTCATGTAGTGATGGCACATATTATAATGCACTCAGAGCATCAGCGGAGCAGCTAGCGAGGTCTTTACAGACAGGCTCTTGTCTCCACATGGCTGAGGTCTACCACTATCATCCCTCTCCCAAAACAGTCAGCCGTCCAATCAGTCACACCCGTCATCAGGAAGTGCTCTCAGTGCTTTCCCAGTCAGAGAAACTGGAGCCTGGACTGTCGGACCAGCAGACCACAGTCCATCAGGACGGACGGTCGAGCCTCTTCACCTCACTCCTTGAGCGTGGGCCGGGCAGAGTCCCCCTTCCACCTCTACTACCTCTTCACCCCTGAGTAAAACTATAAGCTCTTGGGGGATTTACCTGGTCTATGTAGAAGGCCGTCCCTGAGCGGATCTCTCTCCTCTGCTTGAGGTCCGTCTCTGTGGTGTCTCTGGACAGAGCCACGTACTCCACCTCCCGTTTGGTCAACTCCTGCTCAACGACAAGGAAAGACTCGGCTTCACACAGCGTTTCAGGAGTCCTCTCAAAAGTTAAAGGCCGATGTTGTTTCAATATAAAACCAGTTGTACAATCACATTACATGAACTAAATAAACGATGATGATGTAATTCAGATATCCAGTTGTGATGGCTGTTAATTCATGTTCATACACTGACTGCAGAGTTTTCATCATGTAGCAGCTCAGCTAACTTTGTTACATTCACTCATCTGATGCACATTTATGAAAAATGATCATTAAGATCATTTGCCAGAAAAACTTTATGAGTCTAATTAATATTAACACATGGAGAAAAAAAAGAAAAAGAATAAGAGTAAGACATTAATAACAAATATTCATTACAAGAAGAGTCTGTACATGTTCTACACATCTAAAGCAAACATCCATGAGGACAGGAATATAAGATACAATATGTATTATTGTATTATGTTATATTATATATTTTAGGTGCAATTTTATTCAATTCTAAATTTTTAATTTCTTGACAACAATTTTACACGCCTAAAACAGGAAAAACTTCTCCCTGTTTCCATGGAGTTGATGTTTGAACTGTTATGCAACCGATTTATTTTTTAACACAGATGAAGCCGTGTGCTAATTAGCCGTGGATAATGACATGACTGAGTAAATGTTAATTATCACAGCTTATCCTCATTTGTCACTGCTGGCTCCTGGAAGCCCAGTGACAGGGTTTAATGGTCTTATGAGGATTTTGTTTTTAGTTTTTTCAACATATACATATAATTGTTTTTCTGCACCCATGAGACAGAAAGTTCTCCTCAGAGAAACCAGCCTTGATAATGAGGAACTGCTGGTCTCCATGGTTACCTGACATACAAAGTCAGCAGAGTGTGGGGGTGTACGTTTGCCTAAAGCTTGATCGATCAGAAAGTGGCATGGGAGGGAACAGAGTGGAGTGAATAAGGGGGGGGGGGG